TGAAGTGGAAGGAGAGAGGAATCTTTAGTGTAAACAAGAGTTTGTTTTAGAATCTTTGGACCTTAGCAGTCATACTTTCCAGATGATTGCTTTAGAGGAGTCTGCTCAGTAATGGGGTTGGTGCACATGAAAATGTCAGGGGAGGGTTTCCAGAAAAATATTCAGCTGAGAGAATGAAAATGAAGATGCTAACCAGAAACAGTAGTGTACTGCTACTATACACTCCCTCTAGCTCCCGGGGATCTAAAGGGGATTCTGGACTACTTCCTGTTAACACAATAGGGTACCCCTCCTCTCTTCCCAAAGACACTGAGTCAGCATCTGGCTTGGAGCCAGAGAGGCATATTCTGAATTCAGAGTGTTCAACAATGTTCAGTACAATTACGACATAATGGCTGCAAAGCTGTTCCTGAAAGCCAAGAAAACCTGAATAATGTGGTTAGGTTATATCATACATGAGGGCTTAATAGAGTTTAAAAACCAATTTGAAAATTCTTTCATTCCATAAAGACAGCATTAAGATGAGAGCAAAATCATTCAAGTTCAAGGAACAGGGACAAAGTGCATAAGGACTTATCCTGACTCCTTTCCACATTATCCTTCTTAACCAAAATGACCTATCCCCTTTGAAAATATCTGATATTTAATACTGGCCCAGAAAGAAGGCAATTTCATTAAAACATCTTAGTTTTACTGTACCCAGCTAGTAATTCCAGTTTCCTTGCTATTTACAAAGGACACAATCCCATTTCCAAAAAACAACTATTTGCAATTCAAAATCTGTCCATCTAGGCAAGGTCTTCCATCCATCACTAATACTCCATCATTTCCAATTCATCTTGCCAAAGAGGTGAATTTATCTTCATGACCACCCAAGACCTGAAAGATGTTTCATTCATTTTTAGCCATTCTGTAGCAAATGACTTTGGAAACTTTGAGTTACTAAATCCAGCATTTTCTTGGACTTGTGATACCAACAATACCTAGGCCTGCTCAATCTGAATGTTGGGAACCATGTTCTCTTGAGGTCATGCTACCACAACCCCCAGTTATGTCAGATTCTTCAATACTGTGGATCTTATTCTGTTAGTTAATACCTATCATGGAATATCTTAATATTTTGGAACTGGGAGGTGACTTTGAAGATCCCATTGCTTTATAGATAATGTGTAACTGAAGCCTTTCATACTGCATTTTTTGGTTCATCTTTCTATATTTTGTCCTTGAACAATGGCTTATTTTTATACATAATGACACAGAATTTTCAAAACTAGAAGAGATCTCCAAGTTCAACTTCTTCCTTTCTTCCAAAAAAATCTTAGAAAGTTTTATACATAAATCCTCAGAGTATACCAAATAACAGATACCACATTTTGTTTAAGGCTTAACTTAAAGATGGAGGGTGAGAAAGTTTCAGCTTCGGACAGCAGAATCCTTTTAATTTAAGAATGAGGTTCTGGTCTCTAAATCTAAGATACAGATTAATTTCATTTTTGAACTTGGAGAAACAGAGCTGAACTTAGATCTCTCTCTCTTTTTTTTTTTTTTTTATTCTTACATCCTAGGCTGCCTCAGCTGACTGAATTTCTATTAAATAACACTATTCTTTCTCTTGGCTGACTGGAAGAAACTCCATGTTTTAAAAAGTAAAGAGTTAAAAGTCAAATAATTCAATCTCATGTCCTTCCTCCTGAGTAAACTAGAAGCCATTTCCCCATGATTTCATGATTAATATGAAAAAGTACAGGAACAAAGAGAGGAAGTTCATTTGTTTCCAGCAGTAACATTCTGGTTTCTGCTGCAGTCCCATTGGCAACAGAAGGAAACAGTATCCTACATGCTTGCCCCATTACAACACGAAAAGCAGTCAACTTTGTGGGAATGTTAGCAAAATAGAAAAGATGATTTGGGCTTTCTTCCAGTATTATTTGGGCACCCTAGCCTTAAAATAGTGACCATAGATAGTCTGTCCTTAAGGAAGGAACAAATGAAGATATTAGTGACCTAGGTAAGCTAATTATTTGGTATACCTTCAAAAGGACAGTCTTCAAATATTTGCTCAACAGGTCTTTGGGGGAGGAGTCGAGCATGGCAGGCCTGGATGGAGTGTGGAGACAGGGCTCATAGTGCCTTTCAACTTGCTTATTTCATTAGACACAACCAAGGCTCTGTAGCTGATCAGGTCTTATCTCCTTGAAAGGTAGTCTGATGACCAACTATAGATTCTCAAATATGCACTTCCCTACTGCAAGCTGTTGATCAAGGCATTGGTAACTGCAGTATTTTTACTTAGTAACCTCTTGAAAGGTTATTGTTTTATATTCCTTTTCTCTATCTTTTTCCACCCCAATGATGTTAGAGATCCACTCTCCCTTCAGGGACACTGTCTTTTCATTTCTGTAGCATGTACTAAGTGTTTGCAATGCATCAGACACTGTGCTGGGTACTAGAAATATAAGAGTGACTTAAGATACTTTCTGACTTAAGATACTTTCCCTGCCCTTCAGGACTTCATACCTTGGGCAGAAGTAAAAGTTAAAAACAATACAATACTGCATTGGTGAAGCCTATAACAGTAAAATGGTTGTTACCAGATACTAATGGTGAAATGCTCTGAAATCCTTGGGGATGCATATTTTAAAATAGGAAGTATTTTTAATTTTGCTTCTATCTCTGGAAACCTTATCTTTGGTAAGGATTCAAATACAAAGAGTGGTGTTTCCATGCCTCCAGGTTCCTGTAACTGTAAATGGAATGTTAAGGATGTGGGATAATTATCTATGAGAAACTTAGCCTAAACATTTCATTTGGCATATTCTTTCTCAAGTGATTTTGTCTCTGAACTTGCTACATGGTACTAGAGGAAAGATGAAAGAAGCTTGCCTAGTCCCTGCTACCTGTGTGGATCCCTGGATCCAGATGGTTTCTCGCCTTCAAAATAATTGCAAACAAGATTAAAACTGCATGCAGGAACCATCCCAGCTGGCTTCTGACTTCCTCTGATGTACACTCTTTGAATAAAGCAGTGGCAAAATTAGATTCAAAATAAGGAACATAAAAAAAACCTTAGTACTTGTATCATATTATCTCAAGGTCCTGCTACATATGAAACCCCAAACCCTGGCATTAGAGTAACTGAACACATCAGCCAGCTAGAGTATGCATATATTATGAAATACAAAAATTTCAACCAGAAATGACTTTTTTTGAAGGCATATCTCCATATTGCCTCTAGGTACTTAAGAGTATGACAGAGCCAGGCATCTGGAATAAAATAGAAATACAGTCCAATAAATTCCCAAGTTGGAAAAATCCTCATTCCTATTACCTTATCTGCCATCAATCCATCTAAATAAAACACAAAGCCACATTTTCCTCTAGTGAAGAAGACAAAAAAAGTATTGATTCTTCCTCAGCAGGCAGCTACTACTGACCACAGCAAGTACAGACAAACTGGGGAGTTCGCCTGTCCAGAGCATCAGCCCCACCCATCTTAATTTTCACAACTGCAACTTTCTGGTTCCAGGCAATTCTTCAGGAGAACAGAATCCTGGTTATTAGGCTATGACATTTCACACAGAACCATGACTGAGTTCTGCTACATACCCTGATGTTATGATAATCACTCAGTATTTCCAGGGGATACCTCTTTTTCCAAGTGTTTCAAATACATATAGCTCCAGATATTGGTAGAGAGAGTCATATGCATTTTCATAAGCTATTTTTCATATAATTACTAAATGAGGAGATTGTGGCCTGTAATGCCTACTTCAACTTGTACAGTGCCGTGCACACTGAGGCATGGCTCCTGTAACTGCTTAACCAAGACAATGTGTAGTTACAGGAGCCCTGCTTATGTTGGAAAACAGGCTAGAAAGTGCTGGGCGTGCAACAGGTCCTAGCCACTATTCCTATCCTGGAGGAGCTTATAGCCTGGGCTCCAGCTTGGCCATACCGTGTGTATATAGATGGATCGATTTTTTTAAAGGGCCCTACAATATGAAGTACTGTATGAGATACTTCCTATGAAGTAACATGAATAGGGACGCCTGGATGACTCAGTGGTTGAGCGTCTGCCTTTGGCTCAGGCCGTGATCCCGGTTGTGGGATCAAGTCCCACATCTGCTTCTCTCTCTGCCTGTCTCTCATGAATAAATAAATAAAATCTTAAAAAAAAGAAAAGAAAGAAAGAAAGAAAGAAAGAAAGAAAGAAAGAAAGAAAGAAAGAAAGAAAGAAAGAAAGAAAGAAAGAAACAAGAATAAAGATCATCCTGGCAAAAACCTTGTTAAAGACAACATAGAAACAGGCACTTGCCTATTCACGTTAATAATTTCGCCAGGACTTCGTGAACTCTGGACCTTTAAAAAAAAATTCTACCAACTGGTATTTATCAGGGGTGACCGACCAGGCGAAGTATGTGCTGAGAACTGTGCAGTCTCCGGTTTACTATCACACTGTTCACCACCCAGGGGAGCTTGCGCCGGCGAAGCAGAGAGAGGGTCCAGAAAGCCACGTTCCCTACAGCACCTTTCAACCTTTTCACCCCCGCCCCATTAAAGGTCACCATGCGTGCTCAAAAATATTTAAAAAGGCGGTCATCTCAGCGGGCTGCCACTGAGATTATACTGCCACTTCATACAAATTCCATTAAACCCGGGACGGGGCATGGATGGAAAAAGTGGAAAAAGCGTGAAGCTTGAGCTGTTTTCTGCTTTCTCTTAAAAGAGCTGCCTTTCCCGCTCATTATTTCTGTCCACTTCCCAGAGCGCCATCGCTGGTGCGCGCGCGCAGACACACACACGCGCAGACACACAAATGCCTATAATCTCCCCTCCGGAGGTTCATGGATTTATGGCTCCCGGTTTAATTAAATTCCCTCTAACGACGATCGAAATTGGCAGCGTGCGGCACAGTGAAGGGCTCGCGCGCCCCGCCCGCCCGCCGGCTCCGGGCGGGGACCCGAGAGCCTGCCCGCCGCCGCCAGGCCACCCGCACCCACCTGAGCCTCCCGACGCCTACGTCGCCGCGTCGCCCGCGTCGCCCGCGTCGCCGCTTCCGCCCCGGCCGGCACTTCCGGCCGACCAGCCCGGCTCCCGCCTCGCGCCTCGCACTTCCGCCGCGGCCCGCGGCGCCTGGGGCTGCAGCCTCCCTGGATCCGCTCGCCGAGCGCGTCGCCGCTCCGCAGGGGCTGCCACGCCTGAGCTGTTGCTCGAGGAGGAGCGGGGGCGGGGACGCAAAAACCAGGGCCAAATGTCAAAAACAAAGACCGTGGAAAAGTGACCCCGGCTCGTTGGGGTACCGTTTGTAATGAGGAGCCAACTTGAAAAGGTGCGGTTCAGGCTCTTTTGACTCATCCTTGCGTTCATTCGCTCACTCTTCCAGTGTTCACTGCCTTCTTCCCCTGGCTCCCGCCTAGCTAGGTCATGGGCAACTCGAGCATGAGTGAAACTGGCGGCTGTACCCTCCCACAGTTAGTTATCCTTTAAACAACGAGGTGCTTCGAAAGGGAAGGAATGCGACCCTGTGGAGGTGATCTAGTTGAAGAGGTGGCCTTGGGGCTGGGTGGTGAAGCGCCAGGTCCGGCAGAGGGACGGAGCTCCGGACCTCTCCAGCCTGCAGGAGAAGGGTGGGACTGGAGGGAGCCTGGCACCAGCCTTGCACGGGAGACTAAATAGTATGGCCCAGGGTTGGAGGGAGTGGGGAGAGGAGGGAACAGGCTGCGGAGGGCAGGCAGGAGCCAGGGTATGCAGGGCCTTTGTTTCAGGGGTTTGTTGTGTGTGTGTGTGTGTGTGTGTGTGTGTGTGTGTGTGTGTGTGTGTGTTTAAAGATTTTATTTATTCATGAGAAACAGCAGAGAGAGGTAGAGATATAGGAGAGGGAGAAGCAGGCCCCATGCGGGGACCCTGATGCAGGACTCGATCCCGGGACTCTGGGATCACGACCTGAGCCAAAGGCAGATGATCAACCACTGAGCCACCCAGGCGCCCCTTTTGTTTCAGTTTTGTGTGAAGGACAGCTGGAGGAGTTTTTGTTGTACTCTGTTTTTGTGTGTGGGAAGGGACTTGAACTGATAGCCCTTCCCTACGGAGAAGATCACTCATCTTCGGGAAGAAGATTAGGGGCTGGCATAGGTAAGAGCAGAGGGAAGGCAGCTGGGAAGGCAGGAGGCCACTGAGTAGTTCAGGACCGAGGTGTAGCAGCTTGAATGGTGGTACTCCAAATAGAAAATGATAGATAGAGTAATGCTCAAAGCTAACATGGATTGCTAACATCAGTTTTGCGCTCATTAACTTGTTTAAAATTGAGGACCATCCTTTTAAGCATTATTGGTACCATTTTGCAGATGAAAAAAATAATAGCTTGCCCTAATGTCAGAGGTAAACAATGGCAGAGATGGAATCCCATCTCATCCTGATGGCAGCATCCATGAGCTTACTACTATATACTCAATATGTATTTACTGATTTTAAAACAGATACAAAACAAACCAAGGTCAGGAATGCATCCCCTAAACAAACCACACTGATGATGTGATATTGTTGAGGACACATCTAGAAAGTAGAATTTTCAAATTTGTACTTTATCAGTCCAGCATTTGCTGGTAGCAAAAGAGGGGAATTTATGACTATCAATAGACTACCTATGATTATTTTTGAGTTGATACACTCTGATAAAACCTAATCCCTTTCTGGGTGGTGGGGGAGGGGGAGTCAATCTACAAAGTGCATTCCACCTAACAGTTACTGATATAGCATTTTTAAGGAAGTTATCTTGAGTCTAGTAATAAACACCTTGGTGGAACACATGTAACTTACATTTTGTGGAGTGATAGATAGAAAAGCTTCCTAGGAATGCAACTTCAAATCAGCTTCCACATCTCATCTCTTATTGGAAAATGAAATAAATTGGATTTATGAAACCTGATTCCATCCAGTGAAGGAAAAGAATGACTTTTCCAAAGGCCATCAATGAAGTCTTTTAGTATTGGTTATGGGTAAATTTCTTTAAGGAGCCAAAAATTCACAAAAATCTTCAAAATTTGAGTTTAATTAGCAAGACTTTGTTAAGTTTTTCAGTTGATGGCATGAGGTTTGGTACATGATTGCGTTGAGGGCACAAGTTCCAGGAAATGGCTGGATATCCCTGAGAACTCACTGTTGTTCATGCCCAGTCCTTTAGGGAGTGCATGGCTGAATGCTACAAATCCAGAAAGCAAGCCTAGCCTCTAGGTACTGGGCTCATAGTGCTGGGCATATGAGCTTGTCTGGAAAAATGTTTGGAGTCCAACCAGGAAAAATCATAGTCTCCAAAGGTAGAAAAGGAAAACTGCCAAAGCAAAATTAATCAACACTTATTAAGTGATCACAAAATATAATACTGTGTCAGCTTCATTAATTGCTGGATTTAGTGTTCATAACAATTTCATTACATTTGAAAACAGTTTTTAGATGAGATGCTCTTACCAACTGAGAGTTCCTAAATATACATGACAAGTGTTGAGAAATCACAGCATATTTTAAATTAGTTACTTTAGCCAAGTAATTTCAAAAGTAAAATGATAAAAATTTTTATGGCAAAATAATTGTGGGATGTGTACATGTTTTAACATGTTTGAAGTGATGTGAAAGAGCATTTAGAGAACATGAAAGTCTTAGAACAGTGACAGGTCTTGTACAGTTAGGTTCACTCAAAACATCTTGTTCTAGGCGTTCGACCTATCTGGGCTCTAATTCGAAGTTATACACTGGGACTGTGGATAGGACTGATGTCAAAATCTCTCATTTGGGTTGAGTTTTCCTCTTAGATCTCAAGTTTCTAGCAGCTCTACAGTCAGTTCTGAGACTAAAGTCTGCTCTGGAGAAAGCCTGCTGGTCTAGTCTGGTCTGCAACTCCTGAGATAACCTGAAGGGTACTTTAGAGGACATGTCACCTTTCTTCCAGAGATGATCTGGAGCCAGGCTTCCCCACAAGGCCTCCTGAGGGCCGGGTGTGTGGTGTGAAGGGAGGCATCTTCACTCCCATTCCCCTGGCTTTGCCTCTGGGAAAGCAGGAGTAGAGGAAAGGCTTTTGATGTCACTGCTTTCCCTTGAGAATACCTTAAAAAGATAGTATGTTACGTACGACTGTCATGCCAACTGTATTTTACAGTAAACTGGCTCCATACTGCTACTCAAAAAACATACCATCTGAACTTTGACTAGCAGGGACAGTCCCAGTGGTAGCCACTGTTGCGTGATATTGATGTAATCATGTTGGTAGAAGGTTTTTAGAAACCTGGTAGATTTTCTTTCCTGGTCTTTTTCAGGTCTTTATAGTGAACTTGTTTATTTATCTCATGAGTGTCTCATCCCTAGCAAACTCTGCAGGAAATGATCTGTAAGGGCCAGATATTGTGTTGTGTTTAAGGTCATGGAGAAAAACCGTGGCAACCTCCCAAAGAAAAGACAGGCTTCTGAGTCTGGATGTGTTGGGTCAGCAGGGTCACTGTTGACCCCCCTCAGGCCCACCATTACAGGAAACAGAATTATAAACCTGTCTTACCAGGGGAGAATGGACTTCAGAAGCCTGATTTCTATATCCCACTTGACATTTAAAAAACTCCACTCTTGTGCCAGAGGAGAGTGAAGAAAATTTTAAAAGGAGAAAACTGTTTATTTGTTTTAAGACTTTCTCAGTAATCCACTTATGCCATTTACATTAAAGAACCTTTCCATGTAAACATCGTTAATTATGTAGTATAAGAGCCAAATAAAAAATGCTTAAAAATAAAAGTAATTGTAGAATAAATTAGTATAGCTTGAGTGTACATATATTATACAGAGACTCTGGACTTTAATATTTTATTGAAGGAGGTAGATTTGCGATTTTCTACGTTTGAGCTGCTAGGATGGAACCAACAGAAGTGACATTTTACAGATGGATACCAAAGCTGTTAAAGTTTAAATTCATACTGGCAATGACATTGTGCTTTTTAGCAGGGGCCCTGACTCATGCCCCCCCCACCCCGCCTAGGAAAGAATCTGGGGAGAGTTGTGGATTGAGTATTCCATGGATTTCCCCAGAAGGTGTTTTTGGAGCAGAACCATTATTGCTTTCAAAATCAGTAGCCTGCATCATACACTCAAGTGCAATCACACAAGACTGCTTGGGTCTGCGCTAAAGGAAATGAATTGTGTGTAGCCTGCCAGGCACAAGGGAGGCAGTGACAGAAGCTCTTCAGGAAATATGGCATGGAGACCTTGTAGTAGCAGCGACAGTAAACATTTGTATCATCTTTTGTAGTATTTCAAGGGTTTTCATGTATCTTATGTTATTAAATCCTTTACAGTAATTCTGTAAAATAGGTAGGGTATGTATTTTTACCAACCCCATGTTACAGACAAAGAAACTGAAGCTTAGGAAGGGAGGTCACAATGAAGCAGGGATTGGAAAGCATTTCCTAAATCCTATCTATATATATTTTTTTCTACCACCACATTCATATTTTTTTAAAGTAAATGAAAAGCAACATGGTGTACTTCATAGCAATATTTTGTGCTATGTGGGATCTTTTAAGAACCTGTGAGTGCATTTACATCATTTCCTCAGGGAAAGTTTTGTTTTACATAGAAAGGCAGGAAATAGAGTTGAAGTGGGAAAAGTTTTTCATTTTTATGGATTAAAACCCATCTGTTATGTTCACTAAGCCTGGATCATGGAAGAGGATAGATTTCTCCTATAAAGAGAGGAATAAAGGGTAAAATGTGTTTCCTTTGTTCCCTGGTTCAGATTCATACCCATCCATGGAGTCTTGTTCAGATAAAACAGGGCAGTAAGCTTATCCATCAGAAAGAAAAGACACTGCTGTCCTCGAATATGCCCCAATACCCTGAACAGTCTTCAAGAGAGTCAAAGTTAACACTGACTGCTCTGAGGAATTCTGAGGGATGATTTTTTTCACTGCTTTGAGCATCTTTCATAAATATGCTTAAATATTTTGCTATATTATCTGTTATGTCTGCACAGCACAAAATTAAGTGAAATTATCTTTTATTTATTCAGAATAGTGCCTACTGAATATGTACTATGAGGCAGTGGTAGGCACTAAAACTCTGGGGTTGAGCCAAAGA